AAATCATCATGATCACATGATAATACATCTGTATTGTATTCGTTTTACTTCAGAAAGGTGACATTGCTGATTGCAAATCCCTGCTGTTCATTCCCAATAAACTGGTACGAACCGTGAAACCTCGTCAATCCGAACGATACAGCTAAATAGTCCGAATTTAAATTAATCTAGATGAATGAACGGAATTATTTCTGTACTCAGATTTCGAAAAATCACACTTCCTAGTTTTATACTAACTCCGGTGTGAGGTCATCTTGACATCTCGTCAGATCATCCTGGCCTTGATATCATCATGAAATCTATAACGAATCATTTCGTTATATAAACCGACCTACTTCGTACAAGTTACCAGTACAGTCAAGAGATAGTCACAATATAAGATGTGACTGGGGCACTGTAGTCCGTGGCTCTGTAACATTTTGTGCAGAGTTACGTCTCTTACCCGTTCCAGGATCCAACATACTCGTAATCGAACTTCTTTCTGTCAGCGGGGCGGTGGTAAAAGTGTTCGCTCGTCACGCCGAGGACCCGGGTTCGATTCCCCTCATGGGTGCAATGTGTGGAGCTCATTTCTAGTGTCCCCCGTCGTGATCTTACTGGAATGGCGGCGTAAAACCATACTCACTCACTCGTTCTGTCAGCATGATTTGACCTAATTCTCTAACAGGGACTTACTTTTCACCCCTGCATATATAATAAAGACATCGCATATTTTTTAAATTGTTTGTGATCATGTATTTTCAGTTTTAGGTCAAGTGTCACGCCCAGTCATCGATGTAGCCACCGAGTTGAAGGTGTCAATCATAGCGTGACATGGAGTGATTGCAGACCACTGCAACACATGATTAGATTTCACTGTCGACACAACTCCGACTAGCTAGTCTAATTTGTTAAAAATTGGCGACAATGAACGGCGAAACTGACCTGCCTTCGACAATCATCGGATGTAGACGGATTTGTTTACCCAGGCGCCGTGTCAATCTTAATCCGCTTAATAACAGTCAGAGTTGACCTTTAATTCAATCAACGTGGAGGACACGGTAGCGTTAAGCTGCGTTAATTACAAGCATGTAGTCACAGTTTCTATACATGTCTATCAATATACGTGTTATAAAGACAGCGAGCTGACATGGGTTGAGCCGACAGAATTTGACAGTGTGAAAACAAAGACGTGTCGAAGGTATAACGAGCATACAGATTTATATACAAAATAAATATGCTCCATGTAAGCCTAAATGTTTGGATAGAATTATCGGGTTTGTTTAACAGGTTTGTTGTGGACAGTGCTGCCGGCGTATTTACAAAGTACCCGCTCCGGTGAAGTTATGATCATTCCACGTTCATCTTCTTTCCCCATTATTAAATAAAACAGTATACACCCATGCTTGATGGGGCGGAAATGAAACAAAAAATGGTTATTCGTTGATGATTTATCAAACCATCATCATCATCATCATCATCATCATCATCATCATCATCATCATCATCATCGGGGTTTCATAGTGGATCGGACCTAAGTGTGCAGTGTTTAAGCTACTGTTTACGGGCTATTACGTTTAAATACTGTTTGTAAGGAGTGAGTGAGTGAGTGAGTGAGTGAGTGAGTGAGTGAGTGAGTGAGTGAGTGAGTGAGTGAGTGAGTGAGTGAGTGAGACAGTGAGAGAGAGAGAGAGAGTGAGAGTGAGAGTGAGAGTGGGAAAGTGAGTTGCTTTTAACACTATTGTAGTGCCACATTTCGTTTCGGACGCCATGTCCTTTTCCCACAATGTATCCACGAGGGGAATCACCCCGTGACGAGCAAACACTTTACCTACTGGGCTACCCAGTCGTACCATATGACTATGTGTAAATCAAATATATATATAGGATGCATATTTCATATACTTAACTAGATACCTCTATATATACATATCTCACGCGAGAACACCAATAGGCAAGTGTGCCTGATGTACGTATGACAATCACGAAACAATCACTTTAACAATGCACAAAAGGTGTCTCTGTTCTCAACATCTCAATGCTTCTGTGTTAACACAGAAACTACGTCACTGATCGTCCGATAACGTAATCCATCATCTACACAAGTGTACAATTAAAGTTCAATTAAATAACATAATTGAAACGAATAAGTACAAATTGTACTTAACAGCGATGAAGCATACAAGGTCCTGGAATCAGGGTTAATATCTGCCCAAAACATGACACGGTAGCCCCCGGATGAAGCTACCACCCCCTCGGGTCACCTCCACGGTGTGATTGGTCAACTGAATGTAACGCTGTATAATACCACGCAGTAACGACGCTTCAGGCTTATAGTGAAACCGAGTAGAAGATCCTATTATGAGCTCGGGAGTTTATCTGGATTGTTCAGAAATTGAAGATCCAAATACCGGAATCTGATTATTTTTATTTCATAAGTTGTGATAATATATATGGAAATAAGCTGTGTTGTTTGAGTTATCAACCTCACGCCGTTACGTATTATTACTGGTCGTTATCACCTGTTAGCCGATATCAATGTAATATGATATTCACATGAGCAATATGTTCCAGTGTTATGAAAGTAATCTGTCATTATATGTAAATACGTTGAAGCATTTTTGATTGGCAAAAATTACTTTAGATGTAATCGGAACCCTTTTCTGAGCCATTTACAAGATTATGGGAAGTAGTTACAATTCACGTCTCAGTTTACATCACAGGCTATCACAATGTAGGACTGGTCTTAAATAACATCAAAAGCTGACATTAAGACTTCTAATAGTGTTATAAATCTAATACTAAGTCTACAGTCTTAGGAAGACCCCCAACTCATTCAAACCAAGGAGGGGCGGTGGGGTAGCCTAATGGTTAAAGCGTTGGCTCGTCACGCTGAAGACCCGGGTTCGATTCCCCACATGGGTACAATGTGAGCCCATTTCTGGTGTCCCCCGCCGTGATGTTGCTGGAATATTGCTAAAAGCGGCGTAAAACCAAACTCAGTCAGTCAGTCAAACCAAGGAAAGGTGCTCCTGACATTATTTGTTTACCATCCAACTTCATATTGATAAATATGACAGTCAACAAAGAGTAACCTGATGTTAAACAATGGGAAATACTGAATATATATATTCCTCATCTGATAAAGATGAGTTTTATCATGTGTCTTTATTTGTATCTGGACATACTGAAAGACATACCCAATTTCTGAAAATGTCACTTTAAGGAATTTTTCCTCATCGTTAAAATTTAGTGGGATACAGGCGGAAGTCTTACCCAAAATGACTGTCATCAATGAGCTTGGATTCTATGATAAATTAAACACTATTGATGCCCGCTTATCTGATTGATTTTGAGGGGGAAAGTGTCTTCCATGTAATTAACACTGTTTCATGCCACCAGTGTTGCATCTGTTGACGATCAGCTGTAGTTGATTTCAAAAGAGCACGTGGACCTCGTTCGTCACGACAAACGCAATCAACACGCTTGTTATTTACAAGACAGTGATAAGATACCGCCGGCGAAGAATCACAACTCACTGTCATTAGCACGTTATGTGCTAATTACGTTGAATAATGAGGGGTAATTAGCATACGCTTCACAGCTGGACAGATCCAACGAAATTGATTATCTCGGAGATTTGTTTATTCAATAAAACGGATTTCACTCACACGTGTCAAAATTATAAAATTGGTTGGGTAAACATATGTCTGACTGATGTGTATTCAGTGCTATTGACTCTAATTTGTGATACCTATCATTTAAAGTAATGGGTTTAATGAACTGAGGAGGATGTGGACACTGAAAATGTCAAATTACTAAGAGAACCTCTCAACTACTTTTGAGGCAGTGTTGACACATCACTTTCTTGTATTAGCAAACTCATCAAATTTGTGTCGCTTTGATCTGGCAATGCTTATTTACCAGACCTATGTGATGTGAAGCGTATACCTTTCCGAGTTTTATTAGTGAAAACATAGGTTACTTCAAATGTTATTAGAGTGTGTGAAATTAAAGTCTGTATGAATTTTATTGAGAATGTAAAGAAATGTACACATCACGTTTTCAACGCATCGTCAACATTCGTCCCACGATTCAACACAACCTTAAACCTGCTGTTGCATGTGTTTCGGCGGGGCAGGAGTAGGACAGGGGAAGTAACTCTAGTTGTTTTGGTTGACGCGATTCTCCGAGAGACTTGGATTGTATTGGAACCTGGCCGCTCGCGTGGAGGTGACTAGCTCGTCGTCAGTACACGCCTCGCCACAGCGATACCTGGCTGGATTTAGTCAAATGTTTCTCTTCCACGAAGAGGAAATCATTTAATATTACTGTTATAGATCATGTGGTATATATTTCCAATGATGCAAATTATGTTAAAATAATATTTATTTATTAAATCAAATATACCATCGTTACTTCTTTCTGTAAGTTGAGTGAACTTTGTATCTATTTCGCGGATTTATAGATTCTAGATAATAATTTGTTTCTATATAATAACAAGCCTGCATAAAATGTTAGGTCAGAATCTGAACGGAATTCGTCGTATATTACCGGATATGTGAATAAATGCCCACTCGCCAAAAATCTCCATTCCTTAAATGTCAGGAATTATTTCTTGCCATAAACATATATTCGTGATAAGAATCGACGTAAATCCCCTCAAAGAATATGTAATTTCACTCATAAACCCCCGCACCCACGATCACAGCCAAGACAGTTTAGATGGTTGATCTGAGGCATGTCACAACCCGAACAACAAAATATGCCACAGAAATTAGAGTTTGTCGCGGAAATCACTGTAATCAAAGCATATACGTTGTGATCACGTCCGCTCACAACTGTTGCGAGTTAATTAAGTCTCTTGGAAGCTCTTCACCTGCAGCTGGGAACCCAACAAGTAGCCTTGTTGTTCACCTGTCAAAACTTACTAAGCCCCGCCCCTCGACAAAACCGCGCTTCGTTAACCAATCAGCGCCGAGTACCGTGGAAAGAGCTCACTATGAGTTCACAGCGCAACACATGCTGGCTATAGTAGCACACACGTTGTTGACGAGCACGGATGTAATTTGATAGACTCGTGAAACGTATATTCTTGTGAGGCACAAGTGATCATTCGTGTATACGACTTGGATATAGCCGTGCCCATGTGAGAAATTATCAGAGGAGAGACCATACAGGTGTTGCACGTCTGTGATCGCATATATTTATAAGACGTTTGACGAACTGTGACTGTTATACCAAAGAACTGTACAAGTGGTGAAAATGCCTGTCACTGCACTGGATACGAAGGCAATGCTACAAGTCCCGAGTGAGGATGGTTTTGACAAGTACACAGCCTCAATAGAACTGTCGAATGCTTGCAGACAATTCTACAAGTCTCGGGTGGAGACAGCAGAAGCTATGAAGGAGAAGTGGGACAAGACCCCCTCCACGACGACCGATGCCAATGGCAACGGGAGGCAGAAGAACTCCATCGACAAGGCCATGGAGACACTTAGAGCCGAAATGGTAAGGAACTGAATTCACTTCCCTCTTATTATTTTAGTTCAATGCGCTAATTGTAACCGTGATGCATTAAGTAGAGTCATCATGGTCTGGTCTATAGCGATAATTGTAACCGTGATGCATTAAGTAGAGTCATCATGGTCTGGTCTATAGCGATTCCTGGTAATGTATGCTTAATGCAGATCATCGTTAGTAAGAATCGTTTCAGTCAAGGATATGTGTGTGAAATAAAGATGGTAATTTCTAATTAAATAATCAATATCTTCTCGACAATTTTATTTATTTTGTCAGAAATGGAATATTTGTTTTCAAGACAATGGTTGTATTATTTTGAGAAGAATATGATAAAATTTGCTTAAAAGCTTTAAAGTAAAGAAAATTAGTTAAGCGTCGCGAGAGGGTACTTCACGTTTGCCGGCATTGACATGTCTCTGTGTACTCTATTTCAACTCATGGCTGTCACTAACCTATCTGGGTACATGTCGAATATATGATATACTATCAACATTGGTCAATGCCGCTCCATCTGTCGTGTTAATGGATAACCATGACAACTGGTAAAGACACCGTCACACAATCCCGAACGGTTGGAACTAATTACAACAGCTGCGCACGTGCCAAACTGAGCCGGTGTGGCGTAACTAGGCAATATACCGTGCCCCCCGGTTAACATGACGACTTATAGAAGTGGCAGAGGAAATACTTACGATACGGAAAAAAACTACTGTAGGAACTAGCTACTTAGGGAGCTCCCACTTCCCCTGTCACAGTGTAATGACCTTCGTTGATTATCCTGTTCCTCCGCTAAGCACATGGGGTAATAATTTCATACAGGATTGGCCCTCTAGGCCAGGTTATTGACACGCTCCGTGGCATCCCACTTTCGCACTACGAGTGAAATGTATTTGCAGTGTATAACTATGATATTCCACATATTATTGGACGATATGGGTTATGTAAACATCCTCGGGATACACAAACAGTACAACAAATATGACACTCAGATTGCAGAAATTCAAATTGTGCCTCTTTCTGTAAGATATTCAGCCTCTGGCGGCGTTCGGTCCAAACAGTGGCATTTTAGGGCATGAGTGTTCACGGAATGTGTTTGCAGACGGTCGTTCGGGTAATAATCAATGAATAATGTCACATTTGTACATAATTCTGCATTCGATTGGTATTCGAATTATGTGTTTTATGGTATAAAAAGAATATGTTGGTCTAGTGTCCCCTATGACATTTCAATACACGTCAGATACTGCAAAGTACAAACTGAGAGGCGCGAGCTCTACCGCCAAACATAATCATCTCCACCTTCTCTAAGAGGTACCCAACACGAGAAGTCACTGCAAGCTATGTTGGCCATCTGTTGCAGTTTATTGCAACCAAAGCTAATTACTGAGGGGTTGGATTACATTTGAGTAATGCAGTAGCACAATGACTAGGTCAGAAGTGAGTTGGTTGATGCAGGATGTATATTCAGCTAATTGGAGGTTGTAGATTCATGCATGGACTGAGACAGCTGGTTACCGTGGCTCCAGTCTACTCTATACTTTAAGGGAACGCTAATTGGAGTCTCCAGTCGTGGCTAATTGCAATTTGGCGGCCGATCACTTTATTATTACAATAAACAAATTTGCGTAGCCACATGTGAATCTGTTTTAGTTTGATAGATGACTCATTTGGATTGTCGGATAAAACTTCTCTCGGCCCCTTCTCTCATACATTATAAATGCATTCCTATGTATGAAGTTACCTTATTAATATATTAATGCTTTTAAACCGAAATTTAAAACGACATCTATGTATAAATGCTATTTGCAGATCGGATTTCGTTCCATTAACAGGGCGGTGGGGTAGCCTAGTGGTTAAAGCGTTGGCTCGTCACGCCGAAGACTCGTGTTCGAATCCCCACATGGGTACAATGTGTGAAGCCCATTTCTGGTGTCTTCCGCCGTGATATTGCTAAAAGCGGCGTAAAACTACATTCGCTCGCTCGTTCCACATATACGACCAGCTTTTAACACGAGATAACAAGTAGTGTAATTAATTACAGGGTGTTTATTCTCAGATAGCGACCGGTATGTACGTGCACATTTCCACATTTACCTGTGTGTTACGTGTTGAAATGACATCTTTAGCCTTTGTTTTGATCACGTGGTCAGAGATAACAATATGTGTGTCGATGAAGTCAATATGCGAAGTAGATGACTCACGACAATAGCAGCTCTGGCCGTCCCAGACAAGCCTTTATCTCACACGACCACACTATACAACACCAGGGTAGTTGTCAATTAATATTCCCTTCACTGATTCGTTGCAATCGAAAGAGAAGTATTAAACGAGTGAAAACATTTTATGTGATCCACCAAAACCTTACAATATTCTTACTTAATGTTTGCATTCTGGTGAGGGTGGAGGGAGGGGGAGTATCGGGAGGGGGCTCACCTCGGACAACAGTACCCTCATGCCTAGCTTTGTACTAGCATCAGTCTCGCACTAGTACCTCACTAAAAGTTTCCATCAACAAAGACTTAATTTTCTTTGTCCCGTCAGAGCTACTGTGACAAAAAACCTACAGTTTACATCACATTACATCACAAGGTACAAAGCTGCTATTTAGAAATAAGTCCCAAAACCATTATTATTTTATATACACGCCTAGGCATTGTTAGATAACGCGCCGGGGGCTATGAAGAACTGCTAGTGTTTTGAAAGAGACCGGTCGATGAGAGATGGGGCCGGCTACATGCCTGCACGGAAGCGACTTGGGGCAAATATGTTCCCAGGTAGAGAGCATGTCAAGTCTCTTCTCCTGCAAACAATGTGCTAGCGGTGCAAGCTTTACTGTCGATGGCAATCTTAGGAATTACTCCCCAGGCCTGTTATTTTCATCATTTAGGTCATTTTCTTAAATATAGTACCAAGGATTTCTTGATTGTCCTTTGTGTTTCGAACATTGTACTATTGTGCGAAGACCTTGGTCGACTTTCTAATTCCGGCTGCAGTGTAAATTGCAGTGTCTTAACAGTGTTAATAAGATTGGAACAGAGAGAACATGCTATTTTCATGTTATGACAGATGTACAGATTGAGATTATACACTGATTTTATATGATCGTTAATGCATCGGATTAAAATGGACGTTTTGTATTTTTTCATAGCTGAGAAATAATGAGTTTCAAAATGACGTTATAGTGTTTTGGTATTGAGGTAATATCGTGTAAGGTCTTTCACAACATGATGTAACGAGGGATTTTAGTTCAATATTCAGAACAACGCAGCACTGTCGAAGGTAACGTGATCGCGTGAGTCAGCATAGCTATGTTTTCGCTCTACTTCCCACACTACCTCAGCTACCTACATACATACACGCGGTAGAGTATTAGTTACAAATCGTTTGTAACAAACACTTACCTGCTAACTCTTACCTGTTTCTTATGCAATGTTGTGATCCTTGGTTTGGGATAGAGACCCTTATGAAATCGGTGTTATACATTTGATGATGTATGGCATCTTACCGTTGTGTTAGTTATGCAATAACAATGTACCGACTGCCGAGTCTTGACAGCTTATGAAATAATATAGAATCCTATTTTTGATTTATTGGTAACAAATCAACCGTTGACACAATGTTGCTATTCTTAGATCCCTGTTGAGTATTGTTAAGTAACATTGTTACATTGAGGAGGAGTTAATTCCTGGTAGATCTGCATGTCACTATTGTTGTATATAACATGATTGATTGATATAGACATGTATTTACACCAGGGACATTGGCCCCAGTGTACGATTATTTAGAATAAGGGAACTGAGGACCTAATTGGCAGCTGTGGGAGTTTTACCAAAAAACTTTCAAAAATAGGAATGGGGTCGGGCTTTCATGTGAAAGAATGAGGAAGATTGTTTTTTTTACCTGGAAACCAAAGGTGGAAGTTAAGCTTTTTCAGTTCAAATATCTTCTTCTTTCATGTTATTGATTCCAACTATCAAGTCCCATTCAACATTTATGACATTTCAACCTAAGCGTCTGCTCTCAGGGTGAGAGATACAGACAAACACCGTTCCCATCGCCCAGACACGTTCGCTAGTCCCTGGCTGCTTTTTGTCAGCTTGTAGTGTTTGACCAGTGCATGGTGTGGGCGGGACGAAATGAGATGGTCGTCGTTAAACCTACCACAACTTCCTTCCGAGGATCTTAATTTTGTAAGAACTCACACAAAGTGTCCAGCTGCTTCGAAAAGAGACTGTTAGAATATACCTATTCCCTAAGACGTGTAAGTTTTGTAAAATACATCCGTGTTGTGAAATTGGTTGGGCTCTTGTGACAGCTATCTTTCTCAATCAGAATAAGTTAATGATTTTGTTTTGTTACGTTGGCAACACAAAACATCGTTCAACAAAAACCCAAACACGTGCGTACAATGCTGTTTAGTACCATTTGTCAAAGGCTTATAAATACACTGTTAGTCAAGTCTATTTATAACATAATAGAAAACGTGTATACCTCTTCATACCGATGTTATCAACAATAGCGTATAGGTATAACTGCGTTTTAGCTACTGTGGGCAACCATTCGTCAGCCAGTAAGAAGTGTATCACATTTCATATTGACGTACCTACACACGTGACAATTATGAAGCATATCGCGTGACGATTCCTATCACCATGTGATACTTAGCTGATGAATATTTTGTATAAGAAAAAAATGTCAACTACGTGAAACGTTTCTGATGTCAATTTCACGGAAGAGTGACCCTAGTCAGTGGTCAAGTATACTCCAGTGTCACATAGTTCCGGTCGCGATTAAATTGAGCCAGCAATGGACAGTGACAAACTATGTCCCGCCACCATTTCCTCAAGAATGTCAACCCCTTTCTCCGATCGGCCATTAAGCCCGGGGCGTCCGCACGAACCCCGTGCCATGCATTTTCATTTTTTTGTATCAATGTTGTTTGAAGTCCATCAAATCCCGTAACCCCTAAAGAGACACCCTGTTTGTAT